GTTGTTTTATTTTTGATTTGTGGATATTTATTATGATTTCTGATGTGGCCAGTTCACCCCTTGCTAGTTTATCTTGGCACTGGAAGTGGGTCTGAGAACTGAAATGACCAACAGGCAAAACACTATACCACACGTGAGACACAATCTAAACAGTCTATGAGAAGCTAAAAATTGCTATTCCTAGACTGGGAAAATGGTTCAAATGTCAAATGGTTCCCTGCCTGGTATTATTTTCAGTTCCCAACCCAATCCACCTACAGTGGCAAAGGAATATCACAGAGGAACAGCATAAAGTGGATGGGCAGCTGAGAGCAAGGCATAAGTGTAATATAAAAACCATATACTATATTCAAAGATGCATTTTGCTCATATCTAAACATAAAGGGAGCAGGAAATGTAAATGAACATAAGATCAGGCCAGAGCTCCATCTGGTCCAGCACATTGTTTTCACAGTGGCCAACCAGATGCCCATAGCAACCAGAACCTAAGCATAACATCACTCTCCCCATCTGTGAATAATATTTAAAGACATACAACAGCTCAAAACAGGAAACCCAAAGCAACACTGCATCCCGTTCGCCGAGCCCTAAGACTTTCTTGCAATGGTGCTGCATCAGACAGAGAAGAGGCGTCATTGCAAATTAAAAAGACATGCGAATCATTTATTCTTCTTCCCCACTGCAGCACTGGAGTAGGAAAAGAGACTCTTAGCCAGCAACGGGCAGGAAAAACACTCTGCTGTTGCAGTGTGGCCCATATGCATGTGTGTGTGTGTGTTGGGGGTGCATGCATGTGAGTGTGCATTGACCACACCCACTTCAGTTCATCACTGGCATATAACCCTATGAGGGGTGGCCAATGCTCAGGGCAAAAAAGTTAGCTGCTCCAAGATATAAAACTAAACATTAAATCCTTGCCATAAATCCTTGAGTGAGTGAGAAACTTGGGTGTTAGGAATGGGCAAAACGTATCTATTATTTATACCTCACCCATCTGGGTGGGTTTCCCCAGCCACTCTGGGCGGCTTACAGAATATAAAAAAATGGAAAACTTCAGACATTAAAAATTTCTCAATACAGGGCTGCCTTCAGATGTCTTCTAAAAGTCAGATAGTTGTTTATTTCCTTGATGGGAGGGCATTCCACAGGGTGGAATCTGATGGGAGGGCATTCCACAGGGTGGGCACCACTACCAAGAATAATAATAATAATAATAATAATCTTGACACACTAGGGCATGCTTTACTCATTCTTTGGGATACCCTCTCTGACAGCTCTTTGGAACCAAGGGCCCAAAGTCATCTCAGTTATTGCAGTCTGGAAATATCCTCCTGGCTGATTTGCAGTCTTTGCAAAAGCAGCAGCCATCAGCTCCATCCAGTTCCCGCTGCCTGCAACATTTGGCAATCAAACAAGCCATTGTGGAATTATGCCTTGGCAGGTCCTAATGGAAAGATTTTGTTCAGGTTGTTCCCTAAGAAATGGTCTCCGCTTCTGCTTGTGTTGGCTTGTTTGCTTCCAGGTCTGCATTGCTGGTTGGTTGGTGCATCTTCTGTCTCTGTTCCACATGCCAGCCACTGCAAGGTGACGCTGTCAGTTCTTTTAGGGTCCATCTTCTCATGTGTTTGATATCCAGGCACCTGGAAGTCATACATGGAGAACCTTCCTGGACATGGCTGTTGCAAGAAAGGCATTCTGCCCATGCTTAGAAAACGCTGTTGTTGCTTCATAGGGATATAAGAAGATTCCTGCTCCATCAATGACTCGTCATCATGTTCTTATGGGGGACCAACCAGGTGCCTATGGGAAGACCTCAAGCAGAATCTGTGCTTCAGAAGCAGCAAGACCATGATGGGCTTGGCATCGAAATCAGATTCTGGGGTTACAGCCTACCACACAACCCTCCCAATCGGTCCTCTTCTGATCTACCAGCTGCATTCTCCACTCCCACCTCGTTTCTTCTTCCTACTGCGAGGCACGATTCCTCCGTCGTGGCTGCCCGCGGTTCCTCGAGATTATTCTGGGTTCCCATTCTCTGAGTCACGAGGCACCCGAAGGACATTGCTGGTGCTTAACGTCGTGAGCCCGAGGAAGACACCCTTTGCTCGCCTTGTTTGCAGCGACAGCATCCTTCAAACCACCCCCCTCTTCCCCTCCCTGCTTTGTCCAGATGGACCTGACAAGCCCACACCTTAAAACAAAACAACAAAAACAAAAACACGATAACAACAATCTCATGGAGGGGTTAATTTGTTTAACAAATCGATTAAGGGAAAGGTATATCAGTCCTGTTTAGATTGTCACGTGGTAAGTCTCGCTCGCTTCTGTTTTGCTGCGTAGAGATCTGCTGGGAGAAGCTGGCCTTGGGCAGCCGTCGCCAGCTGGATTAATAATAACCCCACCTGATTCTTATCACCAAGACCAGGACCCGAGCGGAAAACAAGCTGTGCTCAGTAGAGCACCTGCGATTTGGACCTGAAAGCTTTTTAGACAACCGAATGGTGGGGTGGGGTGGGGGGTGGGAGACAGGAAGAAGTCACCGCACCTCACCACTCCCAGCTAAGTAGCCTCTTTTCGATGTAGGCGCCCCTTAATTCAACGTGCTTCCTCCACGCCAGCAGTTAATGCAGCAGATGGACGCAGAGGCCAGGAAACGTGACAGTGGAAAGCAAACGCTGGGCTGGGCGCATCAAATCTGGTGCTTGCTGCCTGATCTCCGGGAGTTTTCTCAATCAGCCCTCTTAATCCGTCAGCTGAGCTGAGCTGACGCGTCTCTCTCTCTTTCCACCCTGCAGCCATGAATGGGCGCCGCCTGAGATCTCGCCCCGCATCACCTATCCAGAGACGCTGCTAAGATGGAAACAAAGCCTCACGGTCCCCTGGTTTTCCTATCACTCTCAGACGCAAGGATTTTTTTTCCGCCCCCGCTCCCTGTAACACTGCAGGCTTCCTCCCCTCCCGCTCCCTTTCTTCTTCTTCGCCCCTTCGCCTGCGATGAAGAAGAAAACCCCCAGGAATCGTTTTCACTGGTGCTTTCGCACGTAAGAGCTTTCCTCTGACGCAAACATGTGAAGCGCTCTTTGGCCCGGAGCTCCGGGGAAGCGCAAAGCTGTATTTGTGAATACCCTGACCCCCCACCCTTAAGTAAACAATCTCCCTTGAAGCTTCCTTGCTTAGGGGCCCCCGGTCCGCTGGCTTTTCTCTCCTCTCAATGCAACCCCTCCCCCTTGGCAGGAAGAATCCCGCATGTTCTATGTGGGCCAGGAATGTTGCTTTAGACATTCCAGCAAATCGGTTACATAAGATGCACGCACAGTTAAGGGAAGCTCTGCGGTGCACACGAGACCAGAGTCCTCTTCGCTCGGTTCCCCTCCTCTCCGGTCGAGGGCTTGGGAGTGGGTTGGCCATTTGTTCTTGTTTTTTATTTTAAAACCCCCACATCCAGCACAGATCTCTCTACTGCATCCCAGAGGCTCTGGCCCCGTTGCTTCCCATAGCCTCGTAGGAATGGCCCTCCGACGTGTACTAGCAAAGAAAAGATGAATGAAGGTGCCCAGCCCAGTCTATGGGAAAATTACAGGGCGCCGGGCCCACGAGTGGTTTGTTTTCAAACCCAATGGAAGTTTAGCAATTTGGCCATTGCAAACGTCGTCATTAAAATGATGAGGTGGGCGGGGTGGGTGGAGAGACAGGGAGAGGAATAAAAAATATACCGGATTTTTTTAAAAAAAGTATTGAAAACAGAGCACACAACGTGACAAGCAAATAATACGAACTTTAATATTGGAAAGTGAAGGCACCAAAAGCTATCTTACGCCCCTTTCCCCACCGCCTTCCCCTCCCCCGTCACCTTTTAGAATTTATCCGCTTAAACACAGGCTTTCCTCGCAGGAAAACGAGGATCCACTTTTTTGGGGGTGGGGGTGGGGTGGACGAAAAGCCGAGGGTTCGCAGCTCTGGACTCTGCAATACGGAGGTTAGGAAATACTTTTTGCCTGTCCTAAGTGGCGATGAATGCGGATATTCTGAGATGGAGAAACAGCGTGATCTCGGGTGATGGCGTGTAAACAGAGGCACCACTGGGCGGGTGGGGGGGTAAAGCATTGTTGACAAAAAGACGCAAAGGAGAAGCTGGAAACTTGGGACTAGATCGGAGTCGCCTTTTAAAGATTTTAATGTGCCTCTATACGCGCACATACAATCTGTCTGACATATTTAAGTTTGGTTTCAGTCCCCTGCCTTCTAAACCACCCCCCACCACCACCTCACGTTATCATTTTGCAGTTATTTGCAAATCGGGTCTCTGCAACCAGGCGAGCGCTGTCCAAGGTGCTGACCACGACCCTACAGTCTCCATGCAGGGGTTAGCTGTCCGAGGTGCTGAATCGAAGCCCACTGCTGCAGTGAAGCTTTCCGCTGCGCAAGCTGCCCTGATGGATTTCTACCGCCGCGGCGACGCAGTCCGCAGCCGTAGCCGCTATCCAGGGTGCTGAACCTCTATCTGCCATTGAAGGCTGTCGGCTAATGTGGAGGGCGGGGAGACAAAACAACCGAAAAGAAAACCCCAACCTCCGCCCGATATCGTATCCCACCTCGACACTCCAGCGCCAGATACGCAGACGAGAGCCATGCACCACAACGCGGGAGAGAGAGGTTGGTTGTTCCCAGACAGGAAAACAACCACCATATCTTAAAAGAAGGAAACGATATAGGTTTAAGTATTCTCTCCCTAAACCGCCCCCTCACGCACAAAGAGTTAAGGCTGCAGGAAAACTCTTAAAACGCACAGCAACATAAAATAATAAGAATAATAAAATCGGCCGTGTGAAATAGGGTTTCATTTCTTCTCCTTTCCTCTTCTTTGCTCAGTCAGAAAACAACAACATGGTTGGTGAGATTACAGCTCTCCCAACAATATATTTCCTCCACACCTTTGCGAGCGGCGGAAGCGGGGGGGAGAAAAGGCTTCCTATGAGGCTTTTATCCGGTGCTTCTCTTACCTTGGCTGCAGAAGAGCTCTGTCCGGTCGCCTCCGACGAAGGATGTGAGACTGGGGTGCACTGCTGCAGTCGGGAAGTAAGCACAGCCGCTGCTGACCTCCCCGAGTCTCCTTCTTCAATGGAATGGGAGCTGTGCCCTCATCAAAGATGGCCGTCGTTTCCAACGTCAGCAGCTTTTAATAGACATCTATTGAGGGGAGGAGGAGAGGGAAAGGAGGGCTCGCGCGGGTGGGGGCGCGGGGAACTGGAGAGGCAGGCTGGCGTCTGTGGGAGCTTGACTCATCAGAAGCTGCTGCTGTTGCTGCACTGTACCGCAATCCTTTGCATTTTGCTCCACCGGTTATTAAAAGCGATAAATCTGTTTTAAAATTATTTAAAGGAGACACGACGGGGCGTGACCTTTCCTAGTGCATGCCGTAGCCTGAAGATATCTTGTTCACCTTTGCAGGGCATTTGTTAGCTGAAGCTTTGGTTGGGGGCGGGGAGGGAGAGCAATAATGCGGTAATGATTTGTTTTCGCCAAAGGGGTGGTCCGAAAAGGGTATCCCTCTGAAGTCTCCAGTACTCCATATATGGCCCGTCGACGTGGGCTTCTATTTTTATGTAAGATTTCTCTCTCCTTCTCTGTGTTGTTTTCTGTGCCCCAACCAAGCAAGCCAACTTTGCATAGGGGTTTTAATTATGCCAGTCTGTCTGGTTGGGACCCCTCCTCCTTAGCAAAGGGAATGCAAACAAAATCGCCTTGTTGTTGTTTTGTTTTTACATTCCTGTCGGTAGCTTTACAATGTACAGTAGCTGTTAAAACCTCAAAAGTTATTTTTTTATATTTACAATATATAAAAACTCCTAGGCTAAAGAACAGCAGTACACTGATGGAATGAATCCAAATTTCTCAGATCGTATCTATTTTGCTCATTTTAAAAGCTTAAGCTAAACTCTGAGAAGGCTGTCTTGCTCTTATCTGCCCAAATGCCACATTCTATTTAATCCATATCTAATGACATACGTAAAGTATTACTCCTAGATTATTAAGACAAGCAAGCATCAATCACACCATTGCATGCTTACTTCAGTATAGCAGAATGGTAAAGAAACTAAGCTTCGTTATGAGTTGAGACTGAAATGTATCTCCCCCCACTAAAAAACATTTCTGGCTGGATTCATGTGGCCCTCCAGGAGAGAGATCAAATACCATGCAAAATTTAAAAGTGTGCCTGTCAAGCACTGAGCTTGTGTGGGACATGGAGAAAAGCAGAAATACAGATTATTTGCCCCCCTTCTGCATTGCTGTTTCTCCTTCACCCCTCCCTCCCCACCAAAAGTTTGATAGTTAATTGTGCACTGAAAACCCAGGAAAGGACAGCTCTTCCACCCAAAAACAAACAAAAAACCCCTCATTTAAATACAGGTGTTCTAAAATGAGGAAAAGGAGGTCTGTGACAAGGAAAGGAAGAACAAGTAATAAAGAAGACTCTTCAACAGTCTGTGTGATCTGTACTGCTGCTCCAACAAGAGCCTGATTTTGCCAGGTTTTCCGGCTTATGTTGGCTGTGAGAACAGTCCTTCCTTCTTTCAAATGCAACAGCAAAACTCCCATTGAATGAAGTGAGATAGGATGACACTTTTGGAACAAGTTAAACATAACTTAGGCCCCCTAACTTCACCTTCCAAAAGATACGTATTTGTAAGGACAGCTCATGAAAATCTTTATTTAGGTGCCGTCTTTGGAGATCTTTGAGGCTTTTGTGCAATGATCCAGAGCACAAGGCCACACTTGTGAACCATAGTGTAAAGGCCATATGGAGCAAGGGTGTGTGTGGTTGCGCATGGCTCCATAGTATAGTATCATGCCACTCACGCTACTGAAAGATTTGCAAACACAGTCAATGCAAAGGGCATATGCTGGGTGCCAGTTCTGGTCTCCCACAGTGCCTGTGTGATTTGCAATGTCCAGGGGAAAGCATTAGTGAACCATATTATGACATTATATGGTTTTATGACCAGTGTAGTGTAGCGGTTACAGTAGGGGACTAGGAGCTGGTAGACCAGGGTTCAAATCCCCACTAGGCCATGAAATTCACTGGGTGGCTTTGGGCCAGTTACAGTCTCCTCCCCCATTGTTCAGCTCAGACACTGAGGTCCAGCTCCGAGGGCCTTCTGACAGTTCCCTCACTGTAAGAAGTGAATCTACAGGGAACCAGAGAGAGGGCCTTCTCGGTAGTGGCACCCACCCTGTGGAATGCCCTCCAAACAGATGTCAATGAAATAAACAACTATCTGACTTTCAGAAGACATCTGAAGGCAGCCCCGTATTGGGAAATTTTTAATATCTGATGTTTTATCGTGTTTTAAATATTCTGTTGGGAGCTGCCCAGAGTAGCTGGGGAAATAAATTATTATTATCTCTCAGCCTACCCTATTTCAAAGATGAAATGGGGAGAACCACGTATACCATCTTGATCATCTCCAGGGTATTTTTTAGCAGAAGAGCAAGATATATGGTAAGTAAATTATTATATCATTATTTATATAAGATGTGCTGAGGTTCCTATCTAATTCCACTTCCCCCATTCTCCACAGACTCATTGACCCATGTGCTGAAGTCCACCTGATCACCTGCAATGTGGTGTTGCGGTTCTTTTGCACCACATCTCCAATCTCCATTTGAAGGAAATGTTATTAAATGTATCATTCCATCTGGCTCTCGATTCGATTGCTAGTTGTTGTTTTTTTTAAAAAAAGGCTGAGGATGCCTAACAGATGTGTGGGGGTGGCCCTGAAGCTGAGTCTGGGAGGGGAATGTCGGCCGCGTTACCAGGCAACAGAGACAAGTTCCCTGGTCTTGCGGGAGATTACATCATGAGGGATGTGGGGAAGAAACAGGAAATGGGCCTTGCCTGGTAAGGAAGTGGGTTTTGGCGGGCGTTGGCAACGCCAAGCATTTAAGGGCTAGAGGCAGCCAGGTCAAGTAAGGTTTCCTTCAGCGTAGAAATGACAAGTGAAGGGAACAAATGTTCAAAAGGGTTTTGCATGCATTCCACTAGTTGTGCTCTGTGCATGTTACAACTCCAAGAAAGCCAGGTTCATGCCACATGAGGCAATGTGGTGTAGTGGTTAAGAGTGTTGAACTAGGAGCTGGGAGACCAGGGGTCATTGGGTGACCTTGGAGCAGTCAGTGTCTCTTAGTCTAACCTGTCTCACAGGGTTGTTGTGAAGATGAATTGGGAAGGGGGGAAACCATGTGTGGTGCTATTTTGAGCTCCTTGGAGGAAAGGTGGAATATAAATCTAATGAATAAATAAATAAATAACACAAGTGCCTAGCATTTGAGCCAGGAAAAAAAGCAAGCAAGCCACAGACTATTTTTTTGTCCAAGATTTGTCTTTTGAATCCTTGTACACCTGACATTTCATCACAAGCCATATCTATCCTGTAGTTTCTTGATACAGGTAGGTAGCCATGTTGGTCTGCCGTAGTCAAAACAAAATTTTAAAAATCCTTCCAGTAGCACCTTAGAGACCAACTAAGTTTGTTATGGGACGCGGGTGGCGCTGTGGGTTAAACCTAGGACTTGTTATGGGACGCGGGTGGCGCTGTGGGTTAAGCCTAGAACTTGCCGATCAGAAGGTCGGCGGTTCGAATCCCCGTGACGGGGTGAGCTCCCATTGCCCGGTCCCTGCTCCTGCCAACCTAGCAGTTCGAAAGCACATCAAAGTGCAAGTAGATAAATAGGTACTGCTCCGACGGGAAGGTAAACAGCGTTTCCGTGCATTGCTCTGGTTTGCCAGAAGCGGCTTAGTCATGCTGGCCACATGACCCGGAAGCTGTATGCTGGCTCCCTCGGCCAATAAAGCGAGATGAGTGCCGCAACCCCAGAGTCGGTCACAACTGGACCTAATGGTCAGGGGTCCCTTTACCTTTCCTTTAAGATTGTTATTGGTATGAGCTTTGGTGTGCATGCACACTTGAGAAATAGTATATGAAATGTTTCCCCTCAAACCAGCTTCCATCAGATTTAAAAATGTAAACCATGCTCAGTTTGCAGTTAAACTGAGGTGTGTACATTTGAGATGGCCATTGCACATGCATGGATGACAGTGCATGAACAGATGACACCTTAATGATTAAGAGTTCTGGGGTGGGAGGTTAAAGAGGGAGGGAAACCAAACCATCCATTCCTGGATGCCAAGATCCAAGTTTGGAGCAGTTTCAAAGCCCTTGCAGAGCTAGTCTGAGGCGTGGGAGTCTTGTTAGAATAAAGTTATAAACTCAAACCAAAAAGTAGGTGGCAGGACCCACTACCCTGCCCCAGCCAACTTAGCCCTCCAAATGTACTTGGCTGTTGCCCTCTGTGTGGGCAAGTACTCTTTGGTGAAAGAACCCCAGCAGAGATTTAAAGTCAAAGAATGTGCAGCAAAGTACAGTGTGGAAATATAAGCTGTTAGATCATTAAAATATGCCCTTCCAAGTTCTTTCCAGAGTTTCCCACTTCCTCCAGCATAGGAAAAGACTACACATTTGGTAAGTTTAAAAATGCTTGACTTACAAACTCTTCAAAGGTCTGATTCTTGTGTTTTTTCATACATCAGTCAGAAATGTTGCACAGGCAGTAAAACTTAGCTTAGTTACCAAGTGGTGAAAATTCCTCAATTATTGATATAAGAACTCAAGAGTGGCTTGTGAGAGCCATGCGGTTGAGCTAGAGCAACCAGCACAAACCTCTTTGCACACTGAGCTTCTCAGCTAGACAGTGGTGAAGCCTAGCAGAACAGCTTACTCTATGGTATTATCCTGTCCATGCATTAATTAGACTTAAGCATATTGGTTATATGAGGCTGTTTATCCCACAGCACTTTAAGATGCTAATGTGTGCATGCCCTTACAATTCCTTCTGAGTGCTGCTGCCACCTTCTACACATCAAAATACTTATTATTTTTAATATATTCTCACTAAATACTCTGGTGGCACTGTACTAATCTCAAAAATCTTGAGCCATGTCTGGATGCATTTCTAAAAAGGCACTGGGAAAGAGATTCAGCCTACTGAAATAAGCAGAAATTAATGTGGCACATTATATTCAAATTGGATTTGAAAACATGCACTTCTGAGGGCATGAGAGGAAGGGAGTATGACGTACTATCATGGGCAGCCTTCAACT